ATAAAAATATTTCATAAAAATAATATAAATTTTCTCTACAGAACCTCGGCAAAACATCTTGCAATCCCTTCAATTACCAACAAACAATCCATAATTAAAATCTAATTAAATAAACTTAAACGTAATTCATCCCCTTAATCATCTAATAGCTCTTCCGAATATCTCTGGAAAATCCCATCAAATGCAGCTGCGCTTTGGCCGAATATCTCCCGATTAATTCTGGGAAGCACATTAAATAATTGCAACTACTTGCGTATGTACACTCAGGCTGCCACACCCCCCTCATTACACGGCGGAAAAGCACTTAGAAGGGCGTCAGGGCGTGTGGGTGTACAAACATTTCCCACCTGGCGCAGCTCCCACACGAAAACCGAAATGTCAACATAGCGCAGAGAAAAACTACTGCAGCAGAGCAAGAGCTAAGCGAAGGCACGATGGGAGTGGGAGTGGGAGTGAGAGTGGGAGTGGCGCAAGGAGCAGCCTCAGTTGTTATTTGCTTTGGCTGCGTGTTCCGGGTGCGAGCACAATGCGTGACAATAATTAAAAGATTTCTAGTGTCAACAATGTAAATGGAATCAAAACATAGTCGCAGACCAAAACTAAATGGCACAAGGCGGTTGCCAAAGCGCGGAATGGAATGGGAATGGGAATGGGAGTGGGAAGTGGGAAGTGGGCTGGGCATGAAATGCGCACAATGTTTGTTTATTGAGACGGCTTTGATTTGTGCCACGAGAGCTGAGCTGAGCCGAGCTGAACGGGGCTCAACTGAATTTGATGCCATCATGTACGCATACCACCCAGCCCACACCACCCATCCCATCCCATCCCGTCCCCCATCCATCGACCACCGCCCACCGTTCGACCCAAACCCTTCCAACCACGACAAGTGCGCGCGTGTTTGTAGAGCCGTTGTACCCCCCCGCAACGCCGATTATTGACACATCACCGGCTACGCGACGCATGGAGGAGGGTAAGATGATGAAGGCGAAGAGAGAGAGAGAGAGAGAGAGAGAGAGAGGGAGGGAGAGAGACAGATGTCGAAGGTGAACTCTCCAGCTGAAGAGCAAACATTTTGCGCGAACAAGACAAATGCAAATCGAACTGCAGTGCGCTTTAGCGTACGTGTGTGTGTGTGTGTGTGTGTGTGTGTGTGTGTGTGTGTGTGTGTGTGCATGCTTGTGTGTTTGTGTGTGTGTGTGTGTGTGTGCATAGACCAAACCAACCCGCCCAACCCCTTGCCATGCGGTCGTGCGTGAAATTTAATCAAAGCAAAGCGAGCGCCTGCCTCTGCCTCGGCCTCTGCCTCTGCCTCTGTCTCTGCCTCAGCCTTTGCCTCCTTCTATAACCCGCTCGCAGCCCATCAGTGTGGCCAACAGATTTTGGTATCCCAAACTGAAGCAACCGGAAATGTTGCACATTTGTAACTGTAACTTGCTTCGGGTGTTGCCTCTACACAAAATGGGCAACAAGATAAAAGGAAAGAAAACGGTTTTTTTTTTTTGCTTTCGTTTTAAGGCAACACGCGTAACGAATTTTGCACACCCTTTAAAGAATTTTATTAGCAGATTGCCACGCTCAATGATTTAATAGACTGAGAATCAATGAACAATTAAATATATTTATATATCACACTAAACGTGTGTATGTATGTACGTGTGAATATTTGAGTTCAAAAATAACCAAGCATACATACATACATACATACATATGTAAATCTGTCGAACCAGCTTACATAGTCTCTATGCAGATAGTTTGGCTAGTGTATAGACGTAGTGGGCCAACTAGTGTACGTCAAAGTTTTACACACAAGTGCAAATTTTTGTCAATTGTTGTAAATGGAGTTTCCGTTTTCCTGCTCTCGACAAAGCGCTGTCTGTCTGTAGCAATTTGCTCAAGAATTGGTTGGGGCGGTGGTAAGAAGCGATTTGTTGAATTTAGTTTGCAGCTTACCAAAGCCCAAGATTCAATTTGCGCGCACTTTCAACGTTGCACGCAGCCCTGGACTAGTACATACATATGCTTTCTTAGTAACTGCATGCGCCCTGGTCGAAAGTGGAACACACATACAAATGCATGCATTCACATGTGTGCATATGTGTACATATTATTATGGTGAAGTAGAAACGAAAACAAAACGCAAACAGCAATAAGAACGAACATCAGGCGAGCTAAAGCGAACATGCGGTTATTTTTAAACCAGACGCGGCGCTCTCACTCTCTTTTTGTCCAGCAGAAGCTTCTGCTTTGATATTGAGGCGGCTCTCTTACTCTCACTGCTGTTCGCTTTGTTCGTGCTTAGTATTGAGAGCGTAGTTTGTTTTCATGAACAGCTTTGTCACGTGGAGTAGCTGCTATCGATGTTGCTCGCTGTTGTCGCTATCGCTGTTTCGCTTTTAATATTCACTTTTATTTGCGGTCGGCATACGCGCCCAGTCTCTTGCGCACGGTGGAACCAATTTATTTGAATTGTACATTTTAAATGTGTCTAATATTATTTAAAAAATTTAAATCGCCATATAACTGATATGGTCCATCTTTTATCTTCATATATTATCGTATATTTTTAGAGAATATATACATATATTTTTTATAACTTAATCCATTTTAACGTTCTTAAACATGCACTTGCAAGTGTATTTACAAATTTAGCAGTTGCTGTATAATTGACTATGCGTAATAGCATATGATTTTAATTGGAGAAACTTATATATCTAAATTACACTTTAAACTTATGTACATATATTAATTACTGTGTGCGTCAGTGTGCCTATGCACATGTTTCGAGTACGGGAGAGCCAATTCTATACTCTCTTATATTTTCTCTCTCTCACCACCGGTACTCAATTGTTGTCGTTGTTATTTCTATGTGGAACTGTGCTTTAAGAGCGTATGTAGATCTCAGTGGCGTTGTTTGCTGCCGTTTCATCAGCTTGCCCCTTGCCAAGCGTGAGCACTTTGCGGTTAATCACGATGACGGGGGCGTTTGCGACGCCAGTTGCGGTTGTTGTGGCCTGTCAATCGTTGACTTTGCTTTGTATTCTGCTTTTGTTGATAATCGGGAGCGGCGACGCCGACGCTAACGTCGCCGCGTAGCGTTCGCAATTTAAGTTTTTGGGGCCCGTTGGGCCAGCACTGTTGTCGACGTCACGTCAGTTCATTGCGTCGGCTTGTACAGCTTGCTAGCGCGTTTTTTTTTCGTGTTCTCGCCAATTCTCAACACTCTGTGTGCATACATACATGTGCATATGTATTATTTTGTATGCGTCTATGTGACTGTATGACTGTGCATGTATGTGTTCTGGCGTTTTGAGTATGCTTTGTGATATTCTTCTCTGTTACTTCTGTCAGTGGTTCTTCTTCTTCTTCTTGCCAGCTTTTTGTTGTTGACGTCGCCGCATTGTTTTTATTGCCGTTTCTGTCGTTGCCGTCGTGGCCGCCGCGCAGACCAAAAACTTGATTGTGATATAATTTGTTAAGTATTTATTTATTTGTATTTGGCACAAGCGTGCCACGACGGACCCGTTGGTTGCCCCAGTGTAATTGCAGTTGCATCCAAGCCACAAGTTCTCGAGGCGGCCGCAAAGCGCCTCTGCTAGAACAACAACTCGCCCAACACAAACCGTAGCTGCCGTACTCTCTCCGTCTCCGGCACACTCTCACTTCTCACCTCTCACTTGCCACTGCCACTGTCACTGTCACTGGCCGCACACTGTCTCGCTCACTCACCATGGTCTACTCCACGAACATACTGCTGGGCATTGTGACCATATTAACCGCCGTGTTCATCTGGTCGCGTCGCACCTACGTCTATTGGCAGCGACGTCGCGTCAAGTTTGTGCAGCCAACGCATCTGCTGGGCAACCTGAAGAAGGTGCTCAAGCTGGAGGAGTCGTTCCCCCTGCAACTGCGCCGCTTCTATTTTGACGAGCGCTTCCGCAACGAGCCCGTCGTGGGCATCTACCTCTTCCATCAGCCGGCACTGCTCATACGGGACCTGCAGCTGGTGCGCACCGTTCTAGTCGAGGACTTTGTCAGCTTCTCCAATCGGTTCGCCAAATGTGACATGCGCCACGACAAGATGGGCTCCCTCAATCTGTTCTTTGCCAGGCAGCCCGAATGGCGTGAAATTCGCACTAGACTCTCGCCGGTCTTCACCGGCGCCAAGATCAGGCAAATGTTCTCACTCATGGAGGAGGTAAGTCAATAAACTGCGAGCCAATCAAAATACACTGTGCAACAAAATTTCGATTTTCTCTTTAATGAATCAATTGAAGAGTCAACAACAAACATTCGCATGCTGTGGGCATGTCAAATATCTGATTAAAATTTCTCTGAACCTATTTTTATTATTATTATTGTTATTAATATTAGTATTATTATTTTTTGCTTTTTGTTTGTATACATACATGTAAAAAGTATCTATCTATAATACTTTTTTTTTCTAATTTTT